CACACTTGAACAATAGGTAGAAGGACCAAAATGCCCTTGTGACAATCAAATGAATATTACACCAGAAAATGATGTTGTGGCTGTATAAATCATAATGTAGCTTAATTTATAGTTGTCCAATGCAATGTAGTATGTTGGGCAAATGTAAAAAGGTGTAATACAACAATGAAATGACTACCCTAAATAATCCTGTCGCCAAAATTCAAATGTTGCACCTTAATTAAACCAGAAAAATGGTAACTCACAATTGTATAATTGCAATGTACCATCTTTTCTCAATGTGAAACTGTACCACAAGATGGTAAAAGACTATACTACCCCTGAGAGATGATATAAGCCACAATGCACAGCAATGGAGATGGTATAAGACCTTGACAGACTTGAAAACACTTGGTTTTGACATTTAAACAGGCAAACCCTAAAACACAAATTGGGACCAACAAATCTCTATGGTCTCAAGCAGTTTTTTGGCAAGCTTGCTTTCTTCTTTTTCTGCCATCAAATATTTGGGCAGAGAATTCTGTGATTGCTATTTGGTGGTGCTTTTGGAGTTGTGTTTGGCTTTTAACCTCTATGTGTTCTTTTCAAGGTTATAGCGTACACTCCTTAGTCGCGACCTATTCCCCCAGTAGGTCGATGACCTCCTTGCTGTCCAAAGATAAGCACCTCATAACCTGATGAAAAGTAGATGGCACCCATTCATGTGGTGAATCTAGCATCTTCCCATGGTAAGATTGTAGGACGGGTGAATTTTAGTAAGGACAAAATTTTCTTTCAACGTTTTTTTTGCAACAGTGACTAATAAGTCTATCACTCTGATAGGATCTACCTTAGTGCCATCAAACCCCAATAGCGGGCTAGAGGTGGATTTGATCGATGTAGGGTTATCTCTAGTTTCTTGAAGGCAGCCTTGGTTATGATGTTGGCACTGCTGTTGGGGTCCACCAGTACTTTCTTGATTAAATAGTTGGCTACCAAGAGGCTGACTACCAAAGGATCTTCATGGGGGAGTTGGACCCTGGATAAGTCCTCGTCCCCAAATCCGATTATGATATTACCAGACACGATGGTGTTCATAATAACTAGCTTCTTCAATTTATATACTGCCCTCAGCCTGGACCGATATACCTCCTCTGATTCTTAGTCCTCTTCTGGGTTTCCGTGAATTACGTGGATCACCTTTACGGGATTGCCTTCTATTCTTCTGAGGTTAACGTTTACCTCCTTCTGTCTTGGCTATTCCTTCGGTATGAGATACTCTGACAATTCACCTCTTAATATCATGGACTCCACCTTCCTTGTGAGGGTTCTGCAGTCATTAGTGGTATGTCCGTAATCTCTATGGAAAGCGCAGTGCTTATTCTTATCCCTCTGTTCCAGGGGTTTTCGAATCGGTGGTGGGGCTAGAACCTTACCTTGTTTTCTTGGAAAAGCTGGGCTAATGTAGTTTTAAGGGGGGTTACCCTTTCTTCGTTCTTTTGCCTTTTTTCGAGGTCGGTAGCACCGAAGCTATAGCTGAAGCATGATGATTCCTCGGGTTCTTGGAACCCAAGGCTCTTTCATTCAGATTATTTTCTACCGAGATAAGAGTAGCATGTTAAACTCGATTGGCCACATTTTCCTCGAGTCATCCATATACCTGTGCCCTGGCATTCAAAGTAGGCATGTCCTGAGGGGAGTACTTGATTAAAGAAGTGTGGAATTTAGTGCCTTAGATCATGGCAATTTTAAATGCCTTCATGGCCGTCGTAGGGTGGCAGTTTGGGATCTCCGAGGCTTCTATGTTATATCTAGTTAGAAAATCCCGCAACTTTTCTCCCCTGAACAGGCTAAAAATTGTCTTCTTCTGCCTCTTATTACCGCAATACTAGGCTAAGAAGACAGTGCAGAAAGTCTCGTAGTCCGGGATCGACTTATGCAGCCTGTTCTTAAACCACTCCAATGCCGCCTTGGTCAGACTGGTGGGGAATGCTTTACACATGAGTGGATCGTTATGGTTGTCCATGGCCATCTTTTGGGAATAATGGTCTAGGTGCTGGGAAAGACCCTGGTTCCGTCGAACTATGTGAAGACCGGCATGATAAAATTTCTTGGCCTCTCGACATAATAGATCTCGTCGGTGAAGAAGTCTTTACCAGTGAAGACTTATACGCTTTACCCATCTCTCCTGGAGTTTGTATCCTTAGCATCTTTCCTTCATTGAAGTGGGCTAGGACACCGTTGGAACACACCATGAGTTTGCAGCTTGACTCGGCCTGCTCGTCATGCGTCTGTTGATGGGGGTGATTCTCCGATGCTCCAGCCTCGGTTCTCATCCTCCCTTCTCTTTGATCTTCATTGGCTCAACCCTCTACCACCCGAGGTGCGGTAGGGTTGGGGAGGTCTCCCTAACCTTTGTTAGGTAATTTGGCCTAAAGCTGTGGTGGCTATGTCGCGATCTACTCTACGGTTGCTTGGAGAGCGTCGTTCCGTTGCTGAAGCTGTGCAATTTGAGCCGTGCTGGCTTCGTTTGCTTGACGGAGTGCCTGGAACTGTTGTATGAACTCCCCACGCATTTTCTGCATGAGTTCCATCTGCTAATTGACTGCGGCTTCTCCTGTTGCCATCCCGAAGCAAAGTCGTACATAGGATCAGTAACTACTTGCATTGTGGGAGTATATCTCTATATGTTTCCCACAAACAATGCCAGAGTTTAGGTGCAAAAATTCGCTAACTTTTAAAAGTCAAAGAATGATTGCTACACACTCAATGAAAACAACAAACATAAAGGAATAAGATCAATTGTATATATTTATTGGAGGTCTAAGCTTTTATTTATACAGACTCGTGGAAGAATTAGGGTTGGACTCGCATTGCTTGCCCCCCATGATCCTTTTATAGTTGATGGTTTCCTTTTACAATTCTTTCATATAGGAATTCTACTATAATCACAACTCTGGTGGTTAGTGAATTACACAAATGGGCTTTCTTCATCGTGGATCATGACTTGGGCCGAAGATGGACAATTAGGCTGGCGGATTTACTTGGTGGGCTGAGAGATGGCATCTTCCCTTGCTTCGGGCCTACTTCTTTGGGCCTTCGTAATTGAGCGGCCCAAGAGAGTTATTATGTAAAATTTCTCTTGATGAGGTGGCTAATTCTGATTGGACAGCAAGATATTTCCCCCCCACTTAGTATATAAGAGTATTGAAAAATAAAAAATAAAAAAATTAGGGTTTTGATTTTAAGTATCCTGATTGGTTTGAATCAATAGTGTCTCTCTAATGAATAGATTTATCGTAATTTTGAATCATTATAGATTCGATTAATATATTTGATTAATGGGTTTGTTGCAATTTCAAAACCTTAAGTAGTTTATATTAGTCTATTTTCTTTAATCAATGTATTCATTTTAATTGATGAAATCATAATCATTAGTTTATTTAATTTATGGTTTGCAATATTTCAAGCCATAATTAGTTTATATTCTCATTTTTTTTTTCATTGTGTTTTCTAAAATAAAATGTGTTTTCTAAAATAAAATAAAAATAATTAAATTTTTTTTTTTTTTTTGATACCTATGTCATATTTGACTGGATATAAGCAAAAAAAAAAAAATGGGTAAACAAATTGACTAGATTTTGACATGTATCTAATTAATAGTGTAATACTTTTGGCTTACAGTTCGGCCCCCAACCATGGGATCCTAGCTCCGCCCTGGGGCACTAAAAAATAATACTCGTTAAAAAGATGATGTGAAATCAATTCCAATTTTCAAACTATAGATTAAAAATATAAGGGATATCTCTCTATTTTGTTCCCACTTCTGCAAAGAACAACTGCTATCCTTTTCTTCATCTCTTTCTCCTCACTGATTTCTCTTTCTATATATGTATGCATTCCACACAATGATGCTATCAAATGGACAATACTTGCCTACTAATAGGTGAGTAGGAAGTATATGCTTACCTTGATGTAGTACAAAATTAGTGGAATACGTGTCTTTATAATATAAAATAATAAAAATAAAATGATTTGAGAGGTTATCTCGATTAAACTTAATATACAAAATTAGTGGAATACGTGTCCTTACAATATAAAATAATAAAAATTAAAAGATTTGAGAGGTAATCTCGATTAAACCTAATATGATTCAAATCTAACTCTCCACCTCTCTCACGTTACCCTTTTTGTCCAGGGGAGTAAATGAGAAGGGGATATTGTCAAAAAAAAAAAAAACATTTTAAACTAAAATTCTTAAATAAAAAAATATTACAAGATACAAACAAAGCTCTGGATGATGAATAGAAAGAATAACTATAGGTGTAATGATACATAGATATATGTTTTCCGCTAAAAGAAAAAAAAGATCACAAATAAGCAATAACAATCTATCCTGTAATCAACAAATTATCTGTCAAATCAGATTTTATGTAATTTGGTGTACTTTAAATCAAAATAATTAATAAGTATATATAAGGATTACATATTAAATCATGAAAGATAAAAGTCAAAACATCTACTATTAACATATTAGGGTTTCAACGGAATAATTTGAGAGAGAGAAAGAGAGGGAGATTTAAATTAGGATTTGATTTGCATTCATTTGAGTTGACTCGGTAAGTATTCAAAATTTTTAATTTTTATTATTTTCTATTTTAGAGACTTAGCATGTACTTCCAACTCACCTACTCACCATCGAGTAGGTAAGTATTGTCCCTATCAAATTGCTACATGCAAAGAGATTATGGTAAATCTCTTGACCTACTCACACCTGCTCCTGAAATTCACTTGCCCTTCTGGACGCGTTACTTCTAGAAGGTCACGAAATGGAGTCATCGTAGCCACGACAGTCGAGCCCCGAGAACGGGCTGAGATTGGTGTTCTTGGAGGAGCTGATGGAGCGCGCCCGGAATCGTCATGTCAGGTCGTTAACTCCCGCAAAATTTAAGAACAAACAACCATTCACGAGCATAGTCAAGGTGGTTAATATACTGATAAATTTAACAAACACAGCCTACTGAAGATATTTCAATTTCAATTAAACAAACCCAATTCACGAACCTGATAAGTTCAGTTCAGTTTGGCCAACCAATCATAATCTATGCCATGCATAAACAATAACAATGATGGTCTTCTTGCATCTAAAACCATCTGTATAATATACAACAGAAATACATTCTGTTCTTTAAGAAATACATAATCTAAAGGAGCATTTTTATCTTGAAATCTATTAAAGGAAAAACGAAAAAGGTGACTGTTGGTAGTCCATTAGACCTCCCCCGCCAAACCCCAAAGAAAACTTTGAATCAAGGAGATTCCTTCTGTTGATGGTCAGGGCATGTTGTCATACACCATAAAAAATGATCAAGTGAACTGTCTCCTGATATATGTATCTTCATGCACAAAAACAGGATCTTGAGTATTTTGTGAAGGGAACTGGGGTTGTGCCATCGCGATGCTGCTCTGACTAGGAGCAGCAAGTCCACCCCAGGGATCATTTCTGATCTTTGATTTAGTCAATGAAAGATAATAGATAATACCGGTAACAACACTTGCAAGGGACAAGACTGCAGCCCCGGCAAAGACACCAGGCTTTACAACATAGCAGGAGTAGTAGCCAAAGTAAATGTTCTCTTCACCTCGTTGATCATTAAGTACTGCACCCGTCAGCAAAAGAAGGAACGATATAACAAAGGTGAACCTGCATATGGAGTTATTGCACAAATGATTAATACAAAACAAAAATATCACTTTCAAAAAGCTAATCTGAAATTATACACCAAGTTGTTGCTTACCAAGTAAAATAAAAAGATGAAATGGAAACAAGTTCTAGAAAAAAACGTAATTACTTACTATAATGTCAACAAAACAAGGTTGTAGCTTTATCAGTGCCCAAAATGCACACCATAATTTAGAGCCTAGGTTGGGGGTTAAAACTTGACATGGCTAGTGGTTCAATTTGTGATGTTACTGCCATGTAGTATAGTGTTAACCAGTTTACGAAAAGAATTTAGCATACAAGTTCATAACAAAATGGAGGCACAGAAAATGTACTCTCTTTGCAAGAAGGCTCACGAGATCAACACAGTCCTTAATTATTTATTTGAATGGTAAAGCAAACACACACCCATATTTTGCCCCCACCGGGGCTCGAACACTCAACCTCCCCCTTTTGGGTAGGGAGAGTTTATACCATTTAGGCTAGAGCCTATTGGTGATCAACCCAGCCCATTGTCTGAGGAAACCAGGCAGAAGTATTTAATTGATTTCAATCATGCAACTTAAAACCAATAATATAGAAGACAAGTTGGTACTCACTTTTGGATGACCATTCAAGGAAAAATCAGTACACAGTGTCTCCATATTAATTAAGGGTGCTAGAAGGGGTGGAGTAGGTATAGATAGGGCTGTAATTGAGCTGAACTTTGAAGTTTTTGGGCTCGGCTTGCCATATCCATAGACGTGTTTGAGCTCGGCTTAAGTGGCGAGCCTTACTTAGCCATTATAGAGCTCAGCTCGGAGTTGTTTGAAAAGCTCAAGCGCCTCTCAATTCCAGCTCATTTATAGAGAATAATAAACAGTAAATTTATACATTCTGCATATACATAATCAATTCAGTAATCCAGGAAATCTATGTCAAAACGTATGCGGTTTCGATCTTCAAAATCTAAACTCATGATCCACAAAATACTCCATGGAATATCAGAGAAATGAGCGGTAAGATCAAGTGAAAGAATACGCGCCCGGGGGGGGGGGGGGGGGGGGGGGGGGAGGAAGAGAGAGAGAGATTGGTTGCATCACGGCAACAGATGGTTCGTCGGTGAGGGTGTTTTGCATGTGTGGCGGCTAAGGCTCCTTATTTAATTGCAAAGAGCGGAGGACATGAGGGTTACCATGATATATACTATATGGGATGGGGTTAGATAGATAGGGTTTTGCTTTAAAAAGGGATGAATGTTTATACGAAGGATTGGGTTGGGTTGAGTTTTATTTTTTTCATTGGCAAGAAAACTCATGCACCTATTTGTCCTTACGGGGACTCGAATCCTCACATTCGCCTTTGGGAGGTAGACGAGATGCCACTAGGCTACAGGTTTGGTAGGCTGAGTTTTATATCTAAACGGAAAAAATTAAATGTTCAATGGGCCTAGTGTAAGCGGGCTGACCCTTCATCTCATACAAAATATATATGAGCATATTAACAAGTCTTATGTTCACAAACATACAAGTTGAGCCAGAGGCTATTTGAGCTTGGTTTGTTTACTAAGCAAATGAACAGAAACTGAACCCTTGTTGAACTTTGTCCGAATTCTTTGAAAACAGCTCCATTCATTTACAGCCCTAAGTATGGGCTGTAAAAGAACCAAGCAAACAGCTAAGGTTCAACTTGACAACAGCTCGATTCATGTTCGTTTGTTTAGTAAATGTACCGAGCTTGAACAATATTTCCAAGCTTGTCTAATAAACAAGCCAAGCTCGCCCTAGCTATGCTCAACACCCACCCACCACCAGCGAAGATCAATCGTTAAAGCATCTATCACTATCAACGATGCGATCATACTCCGTGGTGACTAAGACTTTATTGTTGAGAAAGATCTCTCTCTCTCTCTCTCTCATATTCAATCATCTGATCTTACCAGACTCTCGTTTCTCTCACATTCACCTCATTGGTCGAATCTAGAGTGTTGGTGGACCACTTGAAAGTATGGAAATTGAGTATTGATGGTGAAGAACAAAACCATGTAGGATTAGATGGATATCTCTTCTGCGAGTGAAACGATTAGGTATGTATATGTATGCAGAATGTATAGATTGTTTGCCAATTATACTATGTTCACAAGATCGAATCGAGCAAAGCTCAAGCTCTATCATGGCTAAGATAGTCTCAAGCCACTCAACCAAATAAGAGTCCAGCTCAAATACATCATTCTATGGAGTTGGCAAACCAAGACCAAACACTCCAAAGCTTGGCTAATCTCGACCAGATTACAGCCTCAATACTGAAGACTTAACCTTCAACTTTACTTGGACAGTTTCCCTCAAACTTGAAACCATATGCATACACTTGTCAATCAAAGCTTTTACCTCTGATCCAATATGAGAGGATAACTTATATTTTGGCCAATTCCAAAAACTATTCTTAATATAGAGAGAGAAGGCGCAAGAGAAAAGAGCGGTGGGGTGCACAAACATACAATCCCCCCGTGGGGAACCCCTGTATAGCATGTATGCAAGGATTTGCAACTGATCTTTCCACTCCCAATCATACGAGAACCATGCACGTAAGCGGGCCTTACCATGATGTAACCCAGAGAAGAGAGAGAGAAGGAAAAAGAAATTGAGAGGAGCACAATAGAGAAAGGGAGAGGAGGGTTTATAGTGAGAGAGCAAGAGATCAAATAAAATATTCTCAAATGTATAGGAAGGGCCATTGCTTAGTGCATTAGTAAATTGATGACTGCCAAACTTGAAATATATATGTGAATTCTACTTTGCGTAACTGACACCAAAGGTTAGGTCTACATCTAGTCTAAACCTCCCAGCACTCCCGATTAATGGAGAACGCATTGGGAAATGACCCTTAGTATTTTTATATCTAAAAAGAAATAAAAATAATCCTAAAACATTAAATTAACCCAATTCCTAGAATCCAGTATTGTGCCTATGCGGTGCAATAGGTTAGGATTGTGTGTAGTGCGCTTGGGTCCCATCTTGATACCCATCACTTTTCCACCAAATCAAACGAAAGCCATCCGCATACTACAGGTTTCTGTTAAACATTTAGAGAACAACTTTTTTGGTCTAAAGGGAGTCTCAATTCTATGTGGTCATGAAACAGTTCACCGAACAATATGCTTAGGCATCACTGTTGAAGTGATGATTCATGTTTCTCATGAAAGGAACCATTTACGATATGAATAGTATGAACGCATGGGTTTTATAGAAAAATATTTCCCAAAACTTTCATTCCAAAGCACTATATCAACTTGACTATTTTCCTCGAAAGAAGACAAAAAACACATAAACTGCACATGCAGTTCTAGGAATTGCTAGACAAAGTCAAATTCCGCAAGTGTTATCGAGTAAAATGACAAAAAAAAAAAAAAAAAAAAAAAAGTAATCCCAGCAAGTGTGCTCGGAGTGAATAATAGTGATGCCTAATGCATTATTCTTTCATAGTTGCTCCTGAAAAAATGATCTCCATGATTTGCTTGGATAAAATATACCCATTGTGGAGTTGATTACCATACATCTAAGATTCGTGATTTGCTCAGTCATTCGCTGTTTCAGGTTGTATTGAAGATTTAATGGAGGAATCAGTGGAAAAATCAGTAATTGATGTTGTGGCGTTCTACTTGTTTTATTTATCGCTTCACTTCCGTTTTATGCTTTACAACGTGGTATCAGAGCATAGATGTTTTGTAATCTCATCTAGAATTTGAGGGGGAGTATTGGTATATTATTATCTGTTAGCATATATGATAGCCACGATTTATGGAATGACTTACCATATTAGCATAAATTTGATTATATTATAGAATATGCTTTACAATATGTTGTGATTTGATTTAGTTTCTTTTCTTGTAATATGAGCATGTGCTTTTATTTTATCTATAAATACTAGAGTTGTGAATGAGTGATTAATATCATTCAAGCATTTACATATTATAAATCTCATTCAAACCTTTTACATATTTCTCTTCTCTTTCTTCTATATTGTATTTCTAGTTGGTATCTGAGCCAGGGTGGTCCGACTGCAATGAGGGGCATTGCGAGTTCGGCACCCACCGATTCAGAAACGGTCCGAGGAGACATAGTTGTTGGTCTGAGGAGACATAGTTGATTATTTCTTCTACATTGTTTAAACATATGTATAAAGGGGAATGGTCTAAGGAGAAATTATTGATTCTTCCATTTACATGTTTTAAACATGTGAAGAGGAATGGTCTTGTTCAAAATCGAGAGAGAGAGAGAGAGAGAGAGAGCAAAACATATATTCTGTATATTCAACACTCTAACCTAATAAGCCTGTGTAGGCTTATATATAAAGGGTACAAGTCTTGCATAATAACACAAGGGTCCTATCAACTAAATGTAATTACATAATGACCCAACATATATATATATATATATAACTTCTAACACTCCCCCTCAAGCTGGAGAATATATATCAAATAATCCCAGCTTGGAACAGATAGTTCTTAACTAATTATGACCCAATACTTTGGTAAACATATCAGCTAATTGATCTTCAGACTTCACAAATGAAGTAGAGATGCTCCCACGTAATATTTTTTCTCGAATGAAGTGACAATCAACTTCAATATGTTTAGTCCTCTCATGAAACACAGGATTTGATGCAATGTGAACTGCTACTTGATTATCACAGAACAATGGAGTAGGAGCTTCAACTGTCAACCCAAGTTATTTTAGAAAATGTTGTATCCATGTCAACTCACTAGTGGTATGGGCCATTGCCCTATACTCGGCTTCAGCACTAGATCGAGCTACCACCGTTTGCTTTTTACTTTGCCATGTAACAAGATTTCCTCCTACAAATGTGCAGTAATCTGTAGTAGATCTCCTATCTGAAGGAGAACCAGCCCAGTCGGCTTCTGTAAAACCTTCCACCCTAAGATGACCATTTGGTTTATATAGTAACCCAAAACCTGGAGCTTACTTGAGATATCGGAGAATCCG